CCCCGCGCTGCTGCGAGTCCGCGTGCAGCCGCGCAGGGAAGGGGCATGGAAACCTCCCCTAGATTTAAGAATGCTCGTTCTCTTAGGTCGGCCTTAGCCCCGGTGAGTCTCGTCACCTGGTTCCTGGCAGAACTGCTCTCGCTTTTGCAGATGTAAAGAAGGGGGCGGTAGGGGGTGAAGCGGGTGAAGAAAGCGGAGCGATGCCTGTCGGTGGCATCGCTGTTTTTTCGCTGGGTTAAAGGCTCTGTGAAACTGTAGCTGAGGTCTCTCTGAGCGGTGTAATATCCCCCAAACTCAGCCTAGATGCTGTCACTTGGGCCCCTGGCCAGCGAGTCTGCTGGAGCTCAGTAATTGTGTGATTGACACAGCTGTTTGCGTTGATGGGGAATGTGTAAATGTGTAAATCCAACCTAGTGGTCTTGCTACTGCAGCTCCCATATTGACCATACGGTGATGGTATGAGGAAGGTGTCATCTGTTGTACCTGAGAAACCTCTGTTCCAAAAGCAGGGCAGACGTTAACAGGCCGATGACTTCTGGAAGACTGGGAGATGCTGTAATTGATGTTGATCTCAAGTACTAGAAAGCAAGCGGGTCTGGGACCTCGCGTGCTGATCTGAGTAATGTGAGCGGAGCCTGTAAGCGTCAGGGGTGAACGCTGCTGTGAGGCGATGTCCTTTTGGTGGTTTGTGCTGCACGCTTTTGATCTGTGCTTAATAAGTTTTTTCTGTATGGAATACGCACCTCAATCTTCTGGCAGACTTTGCGTGGCATCTTTCAGCCCCAGCTTGCTTCGGTAATGTGTCCCAAATGTGTTCTCTGTACTTAACACTTGACTGCAAAGAAAATACTATTTTACTTAAAATTCAGCAACTCTAAGGAATGTCTTAACATCACGAACCAAAATCTAAATCAACATAACAAGAAAAGAGGAATGTGTAACTCAGGAAAGATTTTAAAAGTGTTGCTTCTCTGGGGTTGAAATCTTCAGACTCGACGCAAAGTCTTACGTTTACAGAAAAAGTTAAAATCATCACCTTTTGTCCTGAGAGAATGCTCGTTCCTCTGGCCCACGCCCAGTGACAAGTGCTTTGGGAAAAAGAGTCGAGTCGAATCCTCCTGCCACTGCTGCTGCCTGTGGCTCTCCTCCAACCTGTTGCCCAGCTGTCTTGTTCGAACGACTTTTCTTCTGCCCGGCTTCAGACTGCGGCATTGGCTTCCCATGCTGGCCCATCTAGTCTCTGTCTTCTAACTGCCTTTCTCTTGGCACCTTAAATTCATCTCGTGACTCTGTGATTTTAGCACCTTCATCTAAAATTTTTTCCTCCTTGATTGCTAAATGTTAATGTGTGCTGCTACAGGAGAAAGTATTTCACTGGCAAGGAGAGCTGCTTGTTAGACCTTTGGTTCCATAGTTGTAATTCAGGGGTAAATCAGAGCATTGCTAGTCTGGTGCTTGTGGACTGTCCAATTTTTACTGGCATTTATATTAATTTTTATTCCTCCCTAAGTTGGTTAATAGAGTTCTCACCAAATGATAGTTTTCCTAGTTTAAATATTAGGAGTATTTTCACAAATTAGGTTTTGAAGATTGGGATTTTCTTTCTGGAATTTTAAATAACACCAAGTTCTGAACGTGTCACCTCCAGTGCAGTGGTGGGGCACCAAAGCCACGATAAGCTTCATCAGTTTTACTGGAGGTGAAGAAACAGTTGGGAGTAGATTTTAGGTTTGGGGTATTCAGGGAGGTTCAGTGTTTCTCTTTGGGCGGATGCCGGAAGACGATTCTTTCTAGCCAGTCGTGTGTGGGTGCAAGGGTTTGGATGCTGACACAGCGTCAGTAGTGTTGAGCAGGCTGAGCTGTGCATCTGCCAAGCCAACAAAGACAGGGTTTTTCAGGTGTATGTTAAGTCTTGTGGTAGCATGCTTGGCCTTTAGGAGGAAAACCCACTAAAATCTCACCCTGTTGTACTGCGTCTTTGCAATGCAGTTGAAATTGTCTTTACTGGAAAAAAACCCAAGAGGTTTGCAAAAGCTGAATTGGGAAGTTTTGCTATCGGAGTCATTCACCTTGCAGTACATACGTACATCTGTAAATAATGCAGGAATTTTTTGTTGTGAGGGGTCTGACCAAGGAAGCGGGTGGCTTCACTGCTGGGCATTTCCATTCTAACTCAACAAGAGATAATTTAA